TCGGAGCCGCTCAACGTCCGCGACCTCTTTCCGCCGCCCATGACGGAAACGATCGACGGCGTGCTGCAGTTGCGACAGCTTCACGTCAACATGATGCCGATCTACATGGATACATACAGCGCCCTCCCGCCCGACGTGGAGCGCTACCAGCAGCTCATCCTTGCGTGCGTCCAAGAGCTCCCATACGAAGAGCGCGGCCGCGTCGGGTATCTCACTGTCCACGAAGGCTATGTCGATGCAGGGACAAGTCAGCGCCGCGGTGGCCTCCACATTGAAGCGCCCAACGCCAAACGCGGGGGCTTTGCCAACGCGAATGCTGGCGGAGGAGCCGTCGAGTGCACGGTCGAGCCAATCTACTGGGGCGATGGCTCCTGCGTCGAGAACGAGATCTCGGGTGGCATCTTCATCGCCTCCAGGGTCGCCGACGCGTGCGAGGTATCGCGACGCTTGAATCGCCCGTCGAATGAAAGTGATCTCTCTAGGTTTGGAACTGCACCATTCGAGACAAGGACGAGGTTGTGGGGCCTTTTGGCGGCATCGAGCGCCTTCGTGGCGTCCTCCGCGACTGCGAGAGCGTCAAGCTGGATGCATACGAGCTGCTGTGGCTGACGGACCGCACCCCCCACGAATCGCTGCCGCTGCCGACGCGCACGTATCGCCAGTTCTTTCGCCTCGTCACGAGCAACGTTTCGCTCTGGTTTGCCGACCACTCGACGGCCAACTCTCTCGGGTGCGTTCCCATTGCGCGCGTCGTGCACGGCAACAAATTCGGGCGCGCTTCGGCCCATGTCAACCAGCGCCACGAGCCGGTCAAGACCATCTAATACAAGAAATTTGTGCAAGCATAATCTACACGGTGGCGTAAGGAAGCAGCTCACTGAGGCAAGGTGGGCGAGCGAGACGCTTCAATGAACGAAGGTACGTGACCTCGCCTAGTATCGTCAATCGCACTGACGATAAAGTCGCCGTCCATGCAGCGCACCCACGGCAGCAGTATCTTTGCACCGTCTGCATCCAGCGTTGACAGGCTGGTCCACCCATGGCATCCAGTGCTTGCGTGCAGCGACGGCGGGACGTCCACGGCGATGACCACGAGATGACTGCGACTAGCGTACGCTCATGAACCCGCGACTCGAAGCACGCTCGGTGGGCGACAAGGCACAGTCGCAAATCCCCGCCCACGGTCCACGCGCTTCCTGGGGCGTCCTTGGCACGTGCCAGGAGTGATTACTGAACATACATTATTTGTTATGATGACTTGACATGGAAGAGAAATAGTGTTCTCTATTACTTTCCGTCAACCAATGCTGCGTCAACCACCGCCCCCGTTAAAATCGCCATGTGCAGGCAAGCACACACAGTCGTCACAAATCGTTGAGCATCGAGTCATGCTCTCTGCCGTGTAGTCCCAGCGGGCGACTCGCTGGATCCAAAGTGGCATTGGAGTTGACCTTGGACGTCGTACACTATTTCCGATTCTATCTCTCTCGATGTCCTTTGTTTGGTGTTGGTTCTCCGTGCGCTCGAGACTATGGTCGTGGTCGCGATTCTGCACAACTTTGGGTTGAACGAGAAAGGCCGGCTCGCTCCAAGAGAGTCGGCGTCCATCACGCCTTCGCGAACCAAGGCGACGTCGAGCGCCGAGCCACCGCAGGAACGGTGGGGAACCTTCGCCCTTGTTCTGCGCAACGTGTCGCCAGGTCGTCGTTGAAGTTGAAACAATCGCGTGACGTCGGCGACGTCGTTTCGGTCGTAGGCCGCTGATTCGCTGCATTTGTCCAATCAAAACCGGCGGATTCAATCTTTTGTGTCGTGTAAACAGCACGTTGGCAGGATGCTCGGGAAGATCCCATTGCCCAACTTACCACTTTGCGCTCAGATCTCATGGCTGCCCCGTCGAACGTCCGCGTGCTTGGCCACGTCACGAAGGAGTTCCAGGACATCCTCACGCCCGACGCCCTCCGCTTCCTCGCCTTCCTCCACGAGAACTTTGAGACGCGCCGCCAGTCGCTCCTCCATGCGCGCTGCCAGCGCCAGCGCGACCTCGACGCCGGCGTCTTCCCGAGCTTCTTGCCCGAGACCAAGTACGTGCGCGAGAGCGACTGGAAGGTCGCGTCGATTCCCAAAGATCTCGAGGATCGCCGTGTCGAAATCACGGGCCCTGTCGACCGCAAGATGGTCATCAACGGCCTCAACTCGGGTGCCAAGTGCTACATGGCCGACTTTGAAGACTCGACGTCGCCCGTGTGGCACACGCTCGTGTCGGGCCAAATCAACCTCAAGGATGCGGTGCGCCGCACCATCTCGTACACGCAGGGCAACAACGGCAAGAAGTATGCGCTCAACGCGTCGACGGCGACGCTGCTCGTGCGCCCCCGCGGCTGGCACCTCGACGAAGCCCATGTGACGGTCAACAACCAGATCCTCTCGGGCTCGCTGTTTGACTTTGGTCTCTACTTCTTCCACAACGCGCGCGAACTCGCGCTCCGTGGCTCGGGCGCGTACTTTTACCTCCCGAAGCTCGAGTCGCACCTCGAAGCGCGCCTCTGGAACGACGTGTTTGTCGCTGCCCAGAGCTACCTCGGGATTCCCAACGGCACGATCCGCGCGACGGTCCTCATCGAGACGATCCTCGCCGTCTTTGAGATGGACGAGATCCTCTTTGAGCTCAAGGACCACTCGAGCGGTCTCAACTGCGGTCGGTGGGACTACATCTTTTCGTTCATCAAGAAGTTCCGCAACCACGCGTCGTTTGTGCTGCCCGACCGCTCGGAGATTGGCATGACGACGCCCTTCATGGCCTCGTACGTCAAGCTGCTCATCCACACGTGCCATCGCCGCGGCGCGCACGCCATGGGCGGCATGGCCGCGCAGATTCCGGTCAAGAACGACCCAGCGCTCAACGATAAGTTTATGGCGGCCGTCCGCGAAGACAAGCTGCGCGAAGCCAACGCGGGCCACGACGGCACGTGGGTCGCGCACCCGGGCCTCGTCAAGATTGCGCTCGACGTGTTCAACCAGGTCATGCCGACGCCCCACCAGATTGCCAAGGTCGCCGAGGCCGGCAAGCACGTGACGGCCGCGGACCTCATTGCCGTCCCGACTGGCGGCATCTCGTACACGGGTCTCGAGGAGAACATTGACGTGTCGCTCGAGTACACGGAGGCGTGGCTGCGCGGCAACGGCTGCATCCCGCTCCACAACAAGATGGAAGACGCGGCGACGGCCGAGATTTCGCGCGTCCAGGTGTGGCAGTGGCTCCGCCACGGCAAGTCGACCAAGGACGGCAAGCGCATCACGAAGGAGCTCGTGCTGAGCATCCTCGCGGCGTGCACGCAGAAGCGCGTGACGCAGGCCAAGGCTGGCAACAAGTACCAGCTCGCGCACGACGTGCTCGTCGACGTCTTGACCAGCGACAAGTTTGAAGCCTTCTTGACGCTGCCGTGCTACCCGCACATTGTCACGCTCGCGCCCAACGCCAAATTGTAAGCGCAACTCAATGTACTAAATTCAAATCTCAGTATCTACCATCACCCAACTCGACCACTGCTTCGTTCAACGAGGTGTCGCATGGACCATCTCGATGTCGCCAACTAGCTGTTCATACTAGCACGCATGTGCCATTGCCGGTGGGCGTTGACGGTCAAGACGCAGGTCGAGTAAGTGGCGGTGGCGATGAGTGTCTCGACATGAAGCGAGCGTCAAGTTTGCTGGCGCATCGTCCTTGTCTTGGACGTTGAAACTCAAAATGAACGCGATTTTTAGAGTTCGGTTCGGTTTGGGTGCAGCGCAAACGATGGGGGGAGCGTTGAATAGCTGCTGCTCGAGCCGGCGCTGCTGCCTTGGCGCTGGAGCGTGCGGGTACTATTACTACTACTGCTAGTGCTACTGCTGAGCGTGCGCGACAAGGACCGTGTCTCGGCATCGAGCGCTTTGGCTTTTGCGCGCGCCGCCTTGCGCTCTTCGGCCTCGACGACCTCGTGCGCAAAGTAGCTGTCCATCGTGTCGCGGAGGCCAAATGGAACGTTGGGTTTGAGCTTGGGGAGGAGCCAGAGCAGTGCTTCCGGGTCTGCGTACGACTCGAACACCTTGGCGCCGCGCACGGCCTTGAGGCTTGACGTCGGGTCGATGAGAAAAATGGCCGCCGCATCGATACCGACGGCTTCGTACGCCGCAACGTCCGTCGGGCGGTTGCCAAACCCAGCGACAAAGACCGGATGCGCCGACTTGCGGCCGCCGTGAATGGTCGCGAGCTGGATCGTATTGAGCACGTTCTGCTTGAAGACGTTGGGGTTTTTGTTGACGACTTCGGTGAGGAGCGCGCCTGTGTAGCCGCTGGAATTCGTAATGAGCGGGCCCGGCGGCAGTTTGTACGGCGGCTGCGCAGCTTGGTCGAGGTGCTCCCGGGACGAGTCGGCCCAGTGGATTGGCCGCGCCGTCAAGTACAAGATGCGGAGGCCCATCGCATGCAGCTTCCCGAAGAACGCGCACGCGCCCGCATGGATAAAGTCGTACTGCCCCAAGCGCAGCGTGCGGATATGGCCTTCAATGTCGCTGATCGTGATCGTCCCGTCGAGGTCGGCGACAATAGCCGCGTCGTCGGGCCCCCACACATAGAGGCGGCATTCGACGTACCGGACCGAGGCGGTGTAGCGCTTGCGGTGCTCGAAGCGGACGCTTGCGTACGACGAAGTGTCGTCGAGTGGGATGATATCGTTGAGAAATGCGAGGACGTCGTCGGGCGGCGTGTCGAGCCCTACACACGAGAGCTTTGCTCGAGGCAGTAGCAACCGTGGAACGCACCCGACGGGAAGGCGCACCGGCCCTTGTCGCCAAGGACCATGGGCAGCGGGAGCTTGCGCCCGTTGACGAACACGTCGACGTGGTCGCCGGCGCTGCTCGACGAGAAGCGCGAGTACGAAAAGGCGGCGACCCATGGCGTGCAGGCAATCGCGGTGCCCGAATCGTTGCGCACGAGGATGATGTCGATCGCGTTGCCAGCCTTCTTCATATCGTCAGTTTGGCGAGCGACCGCTGGCGGCGCGGGCCCGCGGGCGAGGACCGGTTCCTGCGGGAAGAGCGGATTCGGGTGGTCGTAACTCGCCGTGCTACCAGCGGCAGGAAAGAGCTCGTTGCCGACGTCGACGCTCGGAGCCGCCGGCGGGAAGAGGTTCTCGTACGAGTCGGCCGGCTTGGTCGGCGGCGGCGGCCCGAAGAGGTCATAGTCCCCGTCGTCGGCCATGCTCAAGCCGTTTCGGAAGTGCAAAGTGCGGAACTAATAAAATACGATTTGTTGACGAATTAAAAAATGCGAATCAGCATTCGCGCTGTCCCAGCGTTCGCCAGACCCCATTCGCGCCTTCTGTACGGCTTCGATCGAGGCTTGTAGAGAGATAGAGAATTTGGTAGTCGGCAACTGAAGTGGCAGCGACGTCTGGCGGCCAATCGCTTGCCGATCACTCGACCAGCGATTGGCCGCAATGACTTGCACCAGCTACAATTACTGTACCTTGCACTATGGTGTGTCGGAGATATCGAACTGGCCTTCCAGTAGACTGCTATTCCTTGCAAAAGAGGCAGCATTTACGGTGCGGGCAAGAAGGGTGCTGGGAAGCCAACATGAATGGACCGGTCAGTACCTAGTGGCCGGCCAGCCAGCGTACAGTTACTAGTACAACACTAGAATATGGCTAGACTGTGGTGAGTCGCCTCTCGAGACTGCTGCCAAATGCTCGCATTCTCCTCCTGCCACGTCATTTGCCGCGAAGGAGCACGACTTGAAAGCGTGTGACGATGACCATTTGCGCCCGTCGGGGACAAGACCTTTGAGTCGCATAACGACGTTCGGCTCAAAATAGCTCGGATGGCCGCCGTGGACGCCGCGCCCCACCCGCTTGACATTCGGCCGGACCACAACCCGACCGACCTCTTTGCGTGCTTGTGGTTCAAGGCGACGACGGTGCGGCCGCTCTCGCTGCGCATGCCAGACACGATCGTGATTGAGCACGGTCGGTTCCAGCAGTGGTTCTTCACGTCCAAGCGCGGCGAGGTCAGCCATCCCTGCACTGTAATTTGTCACGTTGGGTGGTTAGATTTTGCGGCGAAAGCGAGACAAACTCACGAAGGACCGCGTCTTTCGCTTCTTCCAGGCGAAGCTCACGGCTGGCATCGCGGCCGTCTTTATCCACGCGGTCAAAACCGACGACGAGCGCGTTCTGTACACGGAGCACTTGAGCCTCCCGGCCCTCGGTCCCTTCCTTATCGTACTTGGTGTGTCGCTCATGCGGTGGGCTGTAGAGTCGCTGCTCTTCAAGATCTCTACGGTCGAGCATGGCTTCTTGCAGGCGTTTGTCGTGCCAAAGTCGGGCTACAACACTGCGATCGAGGCGGTCTACTCGCACGACGGCTGCAGCTTCCTCGCGACGCGCGCCACCAACGTCCACCTCATGATCAATCACATGGTGTCGCTCAACGACCGCGTCGCCACCTTTGAAGGCGCCGCCAACGTCACCAGCAAGAGTCGGCAAATCGCTTCTTTTTTCAAATCTCATTTTGGATCTAGAGCCGATTGCGAGCGCCACCATGCTCGCCGACCTCAAGCGCATCAACGACGACATTGTGTGTCAGATCCGTCTCGCGATCGGCTTGGAGGCGACGCGCATGACGCTCTACTTCAAGGTACTATTGCCCGCGGCAGTTGAACTCAACGAGACGTTAGATCGGTGTCGACAACCAACTCTATTTTTTGTATCCGTCGACCATCCTCTTTCAGAACGAAGACGTCTTGTCGCCGTTCGAACTCGCGCTGCACCCTGGCGTCCTCATGACCGTCGCGCCGTCCCCTGACACCCACCGCCGCCGCCGCAAGTGCCCCGGGTGCCACCGCTTCGACCGCGACGCCAGCGAGAGCCAAGTGACCTTTCTAGTACGTCCGATGCTTCGTTCCAAGCTGTGACTTCGTGCGCAGGTGACGTACAAAGCCATCATGGCGGCCCACGCGCAAAACTCGGACGACTCGCTCGAGCTCCACCAGTATACGATTCCGCACATCATTCAGTCGACCAATCCCGCGCTCAGTGTCGACAAATATTTGGCGCTGACCAAGACTGCGTCCTTTTTGTATGCGTGTTGACAATATGTGGATCAGCTTCCTGTTCGGTGCAATAGGTACAAGACCATTGAGGTGTGCGAAGCGTGTTGCCGCTCGATCAACGCCAGAGCCATGCTGACGCCAAAGCACGCGCTTCCAGCGGTTCTGCCAACGTCCGAACGACGGTCAACGCGCCTCAGCATCGGTACTTTTTTTCTTTCGGAATTTTTACACGACGGGAATCTAGTCCATCGACGAGCCGCCTCGGCGACGCCGCGGCTCTCAGTGTTGCGACCGGCCGAGGCGACCCCCGTTCTTCCGTCCCCAAACGTTGCGCTAGTCCAGCCATCACGGCCGTCGAGCGCCGCTAGCACCGTCATTCGCAGCACACGCAGACAAACGCTGGCATCGACGTCCGGGTCCGCTGTCCCAGGTACAGCCGTGCGATACCAAGGTTTACACATGACGTGGCTTTGTCAGAGCCCGCCATGGCCGGTGCTATTCACCTAAAGTCGAAGCCTCGGCCCAATTCGGCAGCATGCTTACTGCGACCTTCGCCGACTTCAGTCCGTGTCTAGTTGTCTCGACGTCTCAGAGTCGCGAATTCGTGCTGTAGATGCCAAGGACATCGGTGTCGCCAACGACCATCTCTGGCAGCTTGGAGAAGCTCCGAATGCAACTCGTCCAGACCACGACCGAGCACGCGCCATCGCTGGAAACGCTTTTGATGGAGCACGAGATGCACCCGCAGCACACGTGCGTGCACATCAACTACCTCTCGACACTGGCGACGTCGCTCGGTATCGTCTTGACGACGGACGAGGTACGCGACATGGCGTCAATGAGCAGTCTTCATGCGCTGGATTCTAGTGGAAGGCAATTGCTATGTACTGTGAGCCCCACACGGACTTGGCGCTGGTCGATCTACACGTTCTCGACGAGCTGCTCCGTCTGCCACGCGCACCGCAGCCGCCGCGGCCCCAGTCCTGCGGTCCCAACGCACGACCGCAGCCACCGAGCTACCATGCGTTGCGTGCGCTCGGGGCGTTCGTCTCGTCAAACCGCATCGCGAAGGCCACTCCTGCCACCTCGTCAGCCCCCCCACCGACACCCCCGGCCGCGAAAGCGGTAATGCCGGAGCCTCACACAGCAACACCATTGCTGCTCGAAGCCAAACCAAACGACGACCTCACGCACGAAGAGCGTGCGTGGCTTGAAAGTGTGTTGGGACGAGAAACATAATTCGGTAGTTCACGTCTTATTTATTTTCTTAAAGTACAGTCTACTTGTTTGCGTGGTGCAGAATGAGCGTGATAAAGTGGTTGATGGACACGCGACCTAAGTAATAATGGTGACAATATTGTGGGATACCATGATGCTGTCTACCACTGCAAGCCGGGTCAAACTGGCAAAAGAGAGCGGTGCGCTACAGTGTGTGGCATGAGGCGAGGCTGTTGCGAGGCGCGTACCTCGTTGTCGTTGAGGCTACAGTTCAGGCTGCTGAGAGCATCTTGCAGCCGACGTCGATCCACCGACCCATCTACAGGACTCAATGGACTGAGCTAACGATATTCAACGCTTTCTACCTGGATACGCGACGTGTTGAAACGCAAATTGAAGTCGCTTTTGCAGCGCCGCTTGCTTCGTCTGCTTCTGGCGTAATGCAGCTGCAATTGTCGATGCGATGCCAGAGAGCTTTGCGGCACCGCCGACGGCTGCGAGGGCTCGGTCGTAGGCTTTTCGCGTCGCGTCGTCTTTGCAAAAGTCGTCGAATGCAATTGTTGGCGGATCAGCGGGACGCAGCTCTCCGATTGGTTTCCGTGGGCTC